GCATAAGCATTTTTGAAGTTGCGGACCTAAATATTTTCATAAGCACTTTAGATATGGTGGAGCTAATTTTTGGATTAGTGCTGCCCACCACTGCATTTGGTTAAAAATCATCTTCTGATGACACACACACACACACACACACACACACACACACACACACACAAAATCTTCTGATACTACTACACTATGTACATTTTCAGCTGTGTATGTGCAAAAATGGCTAAATTATGGCTCTTTTAAATTAGCATTAGCATTAATGGTTAGCCTAATTTGAGATTAGCATTGGCAATCAGCATGTGATCATACTCCACAACTAATCTCATCTCAATAAGTCTTAAAATGGATGAATTATCACCTTTAAAAGTGTGGTCASAAAACCTGTGGCCATCTTGAATTTTTCATTAGCTTTGCCTAAAAAAAAACATGTTTTGGATTATTCTTAGCCATGATCACAAAATGTAAAACAGCTGAATTAAAGCCACTTAGAATTAGCTGTGGAGGCCATCTTGAATCTTCAAATCCAGAGTGCTTTTATTTATTTGCATGTGGGCCCCGCTAAAAAACACATTGGCCACCCCTTGTAAAAAAAAGCCTAGCTCCGCCCCTGGATAGTATCTGACAGTCATCTTTGACTCTGAGCACTAACAGATCTCATGGTGACACGGTTTAATCAAAATGGGTTTAACTCCATTTTTTCCCTGATCATAAGAGGATTTGAGTTTAGGCAGGTAAACCATGTATTTTATTTTTTTATAGGGCCATTTATTCAAAATCATCTGAAAATAAATGAAGAAATACAGTGTTTTAAAACACGTATAGAGAGAATAAATCCTCAAATGTCCCCCTCCCTCCCGCTGTAGAAAAGTTACGTCTTGCTCCTCCTGACGTTTCCTCCTCCCTCCTGCTGCACGTCGCACAGAGCGAAGCTTTAACAACCGTAGTTTTTTCACACAAGTTGTCGGAGAAAAAACTTGTTTTTATGTGTTGTTACCCACAGAGCTGATAAAAAGACGTGGACGTTCATTCAGTCATAAAACCATCTTGTTAATGTCGGCCTGTGCTCTGAATGCAGAGCAGCAGAGGGTCAGTATGGCAGGCTGATGTTGCATTTATTTGGCTTCACCACGCTTACATTCCAGTTATCTGAAATTGTTTTATGACTAGATTAAACATATTAGTTATTTAAGAT